GACCCTCTTACACACATGTATGAAGCTGATTATGGTGTAATATACGGGCCATAATTTGCGGATATGCCTCATCTCAGTGACTATGTATATTACTCATCAATAAATAATGATGAGTTATCTTTAGGCATGGAGTTTTCAAGCAAAGAAGAAGCAGTGATGGCTATAAAAAATTACAATATACGTAATTCTGTTCAGTCCAGAGTCAACCGATCCACGACCGAAAAATATATATGCTACTGTGCCCGACGCGAAAACGGATGCAATTGGATGGTTCTCGTATCAAAAATGAAGAGGAAAACAACATATGGGAACTAACAGTATACAACGGTCCTCACACATGTTATGCTGGAGGGGTCAACCAAGATCATCCCAACATGGACTCACAAAATTATATGCCAAGCCATTATGCCCATGGTAAAAACAAGCTCTTATATAGCTGTTGCAGTGTTGATTTTAGCTATACAATCGTAGTATGGAAACATTGTATCCTATAAAAAAGCTTGGTTGGCAAAACAAAATGCCATTGTCAAACTTCATGGCGAATGAGATGCATCTTACAACGAACTTCCAGGTTGGTTTAGGCTGGTGCGGATGTTGAATCCTGGGATAATTGTGGACTTTGAAACCTCCTATACATACCATAATGATCGAGTTCTTCGCGATCGATGCCAATTCTACCGGGTTTTTTGGAGTTACCCACAGTGCGTTAATGCTGTCAAATACTGCAAGCCCGTGGTCCAGATCGACGGGACTTTCTTGTATGGAAAATACAAGCAAGTTTTATTATTGGCAGTTGTCCAAGATGACAATCGCAACATTCTTCCAGTTGCTTTTGCTCTTGTCGAAGGAGAAGATACAAATTCTTGGGTTTTTTCCTCCGAAATTTACGTGCACATGTTATCACGACGGAAAACATTTGTGTCATTTCAGATCGTGGAGCTGGGATCAAAGTAGCAATGGAGTCTTTGGGTCCAATGTGGCAACCACCCTTTGTCCAACATAGGTATTGTCTCCGACACATTGCTGCGAACTATCATGGAAGGTACAAGAAGAATGATGAGCGTCAATTAATTGTGCGCATGGGTAAGTGAAACTGATGTAGTTTGTTTTCTTTCGATCGTTTTAATTTTGCAAAGAAAGCAAGTTAGTAAGTTATACATTTTTTGATCATGTTACGAACTACTTCCTCGAATGTTTGAATCAATGCTTCAAGATTTGCGGGCGAAGAACGAGGAAGGATACGATTACATCAGCCTCATTGATGAAGAAATGTGGACGAACGCATATAATGATGGATATCGATATGGACACATGACGACTAACTTGGTAGAGGCAATCAATTCAACCTTAAAGGGTGCACGTCACTTACTAGTAGGGGCTTTGGTAAAGACTATATATTTTTGTTTGGGGGCGCTTTTTGCGAAGCTCGGGGGACAAGCTCAAACCTGGATACAAGGCAGTCATGTCTATCACCCTAGATTAGTTGCAGATCTACAGAAAAAAATTTCTGCATTAAATGGAATGTCTGTAACAAACTTCTCTAGAGGGCATGAAATGTTTCATGTCATAGAGTTACCGCGACCTCTTCAAGGGATTGAAGCTGTGTCGTTAAGAGTAAATCTAAGGGACAGAACGTACGACTGCGGGTTTTTTTAAGCTCTGAAGTATCCATGCTCTCATGTGATAGCAACTTGCTCGCATACAAGTCAAGACTATAACCATTTTGTGGATCCCGTATACCTACTATCTGAAGTTTTTAAGGTATACGAATTTGAGTTTCCCCCATAGGTAATGACAAAGACCCTGATGAGATTCAAGATTGGCTTCCGATTGTACCAAATTCGAGTTTATTGAGGGAGCGTGGTCGTCCAAAATCCAATCGAATTCATTGCGATATGGATATTCGAGAAAGATATAGACAAGACAGAAGATGTGGGCATTGTAGAAACCCAAAACACACTAGAAAAACATGTACACTTATGTTGCCATCAAGTAACAATTGATGAGGAAATGATGTATTTGTTTATCAAATAATAATTCTTGTACTTTAATTTGCATTTACTTCAAGTTAATGTCATTCGATAATCGCTGATGAAGATTAAAAAAACGATACAATAATACGAGATTGGACGTTTGTGTTATATGTGATTATAATAAAAGAGATAATAAGTGACAAACTTAAGAAAGTTATCAAACACAATCATTAAATTTTATCAAACTAATAACAATTTGGTATTTCAAAATAATTTTAAATACAAAAAAACTTACAATAAGTATTAAATGGTAAATGATAACCAAATTACAATAACTGATATTAAATGGTAATAAACAAAATTAACTGAAATACATTAAAAAAAAGTCCAACAAATTTAACAAAATAAAGTAAGTATTAAATGAGAAATAATAAAAAAATTACAATTTAAAAGTCCAATAAACTAAATAAAAATATAATAAAAAACAAAATCTATCGATGCCTGCGACGCGAATGTGTTCCACAGGGCAGTGGTTGTCGGTCTCGAGGAGGATTTCTTCGTATCACTGGTTGTGACTCCTCGCTTTCATCATCATCACCATCATCGTCGTCGTCATCGTCGTCGTCGTCCTCCTGAGTAGGTGCATTAGGTTGATGAGGAGCTGATGACGATGAATCACCTCCATAGAATAAGGACCCTGGAGGTGTATGACTGACTATCCCACCGGCCTGCGAAAATCGGGAAAACTCATAAAACCCAGACATCGCTGAGTGTGAAAACTATACATGAGGTGTCTGTGTTGCGGCTATGGGTGATGAGGCTGAACCCGCTAAATATCTAGCATATGAACCCCAAGTCAGAAGCACCTACTCTCCATCCACGAGTCGGGAGACGATGGTGCTGTGTCGGTGAACGTCTCTGTCAACGTCGCAGAAAGGTATGCACTCGTGCATCCTCAGGAAGCAGAAACGATTTCCCGTTACAGTTGAACCACTCATAATAACCGTCAGCAACCATCAAGAGGTCATAAAAAATGGGCTCTTTACGGGGAAGACACCGATGTCGATCCTCCCACAACACGACCCACTCATGATGCCTCACCAGTCAATCTTTATCTGTCTTGCTGCGTCTATCTGTGCTATGCAACTCGTCCATATTGCGAGGTGCTTCCGGAATTGGTTGAAAACAACCAAATTACTGGAGCAAGTGATCAGTGGAGTGTCACTCGACGGTCGCATAACAGATCAAGGGGACCATCATCATCCAAACATCTGATGGGCCCTCAACTCAGGTGGGATCACTGCCCTCACATCATCGGTAGAATATGACACCCATTCAAACTAAAACAAATATATATAATTTTTATCAAAAGAATAATCTAACTATATAACTATAATCTAAAATCGATTTTTAAACATTAAAATTCATACCCGTGTGCCAGCCTTCTGATCGATTAGCACCCTAATTTTTTCTAAATCATCAGGTAGCTCTTAATGATTTTTCCTATCAGTAGACCACCTATTCAAGGAAAAAAATTAATATACGCTTTATAAAATTATTAATATACAAAATCAGTTTTATAATTACATCAGGAGTAGTGGAAATACGAATGGGTTCTTCACAACGGGACATAAAAAGGGCAATCGATACCATGCCCAAGACTGCAGCAGCAGTAGACATCCGCCGATAGCATTACGCTTGTAGTCAATGGCTCGACACATCTCCATGTACAACAAAGCCAAAATTGCCGAGCCCCAACTAATGATTCGGCCAGATGAAAGTCGCTTAGATATCGCAACCACATGCAGTGAACTTGGTTGCGCGATTTTTCCGGCATCAACAACCCTCCTATCAGCTGTAGTATGCATGCTCATGCATACATTTTAACTTCATCCTCAGACGCGTCCTCGCTCAACTCCCGAAAATTGGCATCTAACCAATTTAACGGTATCCGACCACCGTTAAAACTTTCCGGGACACGTACTAGATTTTTCCTGCACAAAGTAGTCCAGGAATCCTGTGCGATCCCTGATATAACATCCCCATCCACCGAAAGCCCCAGGTGCATAGCAACATCCTCAAGTGTAATCGTGCACTCTCCGCACGGAAGATGGAATGTGTGGGTCTCCGGCCTCCACCGCTCTACTAAGGCAGAGATAAGGTCTGGTTCTATCTTACAGTGACCCTGATATCTACCTATGTAACCAAATCCAGCCTCTACTAAATACGACAAGACACAACTAAGTATCACTAACTTAAGGTTCCTAATAAAAGGATCTAATACACGGTTATTCTCCTAAAAAATAAATAATTACAAAAATTAATTCTTAATCTAATAATCATGCATTAAATAAATAAACAAATTATTACTAATAATTTAAATTAAATTAAAACGTTAAAATGTTGATGCATCAGTAAAGTGTCGAGATATATGATTTCCATCCAAGCGAAGTAGAACGCCTTCCATTATATATCAGCAAAAACAATTATATAAGTAAAATATTAAATAAATTAAAATACTTAAATAAATTAAATACAAAATATTAAAAATATAATAAAATATACCTTAAATAGAGAATATAAGAGTATTTGAGAGAAGTTGAGAGAAATTGAGAGAATTTGGTGTGATGAAAGTGATTGAGGATGAGGGTATTTATAGGGATAATTGTGGTGTGAAGCGTCGGGATATGGGGGTAATTAAACATATAGCGTGGGGTAGGGGGCGCGTCTTTCTGACGCGAGGTAGATACAAAGGTAAGGGGGCACGCCTTACCCCACGTGGCGCCAAATCAACATATAACGCGGTTCAGGGAACGCGATTTACTGCTAAAGATGTTAGATCAAAAAATATAATCTGTCCGATACTAGATCGATAAATATACTAATCGCCGATGATTTTTCGAGAAAAATGCCTTATTTGATCGTACCGATTAATACCTAATTTATTACAATTATTCCCTTTGTTACACTGCTCACATGCATTAATGTAAAAGCTTTCATGTTTTTTTTTACTTAAAACTGTTTAGTGTCCAAATAAAAGAATTTTTGTGTCTTTTATATATAGTTAATGCTCATAATAATTCACATGCTTACAGAAAGCTACCCTTTTTTTGCGGTGCTTCTTTTCTTCTTCCTTCCCTTTCATTATTTTTGTTTTATTTCTGCGGTTTGTTTCTTTGTTAAGTGTTTGAACCATATCAACTTTTCTTCTTCTTCACTTCTTTGTCTCACTGCTCAGTTTTTGCTAAGGCCATTGACATATGAAAGATGTCAGTAAGTACGTTTCTTTTAACTGGATTTGTTCTCTCTCTTTTACTTTGATTTACCGAATCAAAGAGTATTGAAGCTTTGATTTTTACTTAAAACTATGTACTTTTGATACTGTCTACCACTTATCAGTTTGATATGTTGTCAAGCATTTTTTAAGTTACTAAGGATTTGATTCTTTTTGTTCTTGTCTTGTTTCTTTGATGTGAAACTCTTGATCTTTTTTTCCATTAGTGTCTGAATATCAAGTGTCCAACTCAGGTGGCATTGCTGTTTCTGCTGGCTTTGTGCAATGCAATCAGAGTTAATGGAGAAGAGAGCAATGGACGATGTGATCTTATGCCGACGTTGGACTCGAGACCACATAGTGTATCCATCTTGGAATTCGGCGCTGTCGGCGACGGTAAAACGTTGAATACCATTGCCTTTCAGAATGCCATTTTCTATCTCAAGTCATTTGCCGACAAAGGTGGCGCTCAATTGTATGTGCCGCCCGGAAGATGGCTTACCGGAAGTTTCGATCTTACGAGCCACCTCACTCTTTTCTTGGAAAAGGGTGCAGTCATTCTTGGATCTCAGGTATTTGTTTTCTGTGTTTCCATTACAATCAAACTTATTACTAGGAACCATTTTTGACCTTTCATGCTTTGTTAAGGATCCATCTCACTGGGACATTGTTGAACCTTTACCCTCCTATGGTCGAGGAATCGAACTTCCTGGAAAAATATATCGAAGTTTGATAAATGGATACATGTTGCGTGATGTCGTAATAACCGGTAAGGTTCTCTCTACTCTACTCATTGAAAATCTTGATTGAATCTATAATGAACCGACACTTTCTTGTTGCGTTAGGCGACAACGGAACCATAGATGGACAGGGCTCGATTTGGTGGGACTGGTTCATATCTCATTCTTTAAACTATACCCGCCCTCACCTCGTGGAATTCGTGTCTTCTGAATGTGTACTTGTTTCAAACATTACTTTTCTTAATGCCCCTGCATACAACATTCATCCAGTCTATTGCAGGTTTGTTTGAATACCTTTTTTGATTGCTATCAAACTTTTACGCGATCCGTCGACCGTTCCCGAAAGTTAAATTATATCTACTTGGATGGTATGCAGCAATGTGCACATTCATGACATATCAGTTTATGCACCACCAGGATCATCATATACTGTTGGCATAGTCCTGGGTTCGTGACAACTAAAATCTATTTTCTTCATATGCTTAATTACACTATCTCTTTTCAGAATTGTTCTTAACTTTCCGTTTTCAGATTCTTCGGATAACATTTGCATTGAGGACTGCAGCATTAGTATGGGACACGATGCGATTACTCTCAAGAGTGGCTGGGATGAGTATGACATTGCTTATGGCAGACCTACAACAAATGTCCATATCAGAAGGGTCCAACTTCAATCATCCTCAGGCTCTTCCCTTGCCTTTGGTAGCGAAATGTCCGGTGGCATTTCGGGCATCCAAGTGCAGGAGCTCCACCTCCATGACTCGTTAACGGGTATCGAGTTTAGAACAACAAAAGGTAGGGGTGGTCATATTAAAGAGATTATCATATCAGACGTCAACATGCAAACTGTTGAAACAGCTTTTAGTGCCGTTGGTAATTGCGGATCCCATCCGGATGACAAGTTCGATCCTGATGCTCTTCCAGTATTGGAGAAAATCACCTTGCAGAATATCGTTGGCACAAACATCAATATGGCTGGAAATTTTATTGGAATCCAAGAATCTCCCTTCACTTCTATATGTCTGTCCAATATCTCCTTATCAATCGATTCTACCTCGTCCGACTCTTGGCAATGTTCATACGTCTCGGGCTTTTCGGAGTCCGTCTCACCCAAACCATGTCCCGAACTAGAGAATTTCAACACATCTTCATCATGCTTTTCCCTCATGAAGCCGAATGGTAGAGCTGCAATATTATGATGCCATCTTTTGGGAGATTTCTACGCCTTACCATCTCAAGAATAGATCAGATTCTTTCGAATAAAACACATGCCTAGAATACACCTGTTTATTCGCCGATTCGTGATGTCATTTTGGGCATGTTGCAAAGGCTGCAAATTGTTTGTACAGCTCCATTTCTTCATTCTTGTGTAAACAAATTTTTGGTAGCGCTGGCTGGTTCAAAAGCAAAAAGGTTACAGGGGGGTACTTTAGTATCCAAGTTCATTGAATTCTTTTCTTCTCTTATGTTTATAGTATTGTTCCAGGTAAGAGTCTCACTGTAAAATCATTTGGTTTGAATTGCTGAGTGAAATGGTAGATACTAAAAAGGGTCATTTTGTTTGAATAAATTGTTTTTACTCATTCCATTGGAGACAGCTTTGATGTATACGAATACGTATTTTATATTTTCTTGCATTTTTAATATATTTGAAGGATCGTACAAGGAATCTAGTTTAATCAAACTGTAATGTATGGTTCTTAAAGTATCTGGATTCATTGAAAATTTTCATTTTCATTTTTACTTTTAATTTATTTATTAAATAAAGTATTTAAATTTTCAATTGCTTCGGCCTTGGATTCCTTTACTTAGAGCAACAGACACGGACAAATGAAAAAAATTCTAAATCCTAATAGTGAGAGAGTTGTTGGCCTGAAGGTTATATCTTATAGGTTCGAATTTCAAGTGAAATTTGGTAATTTAAGAGTAGAAATGGTTATTTTTTTTTATGTTAGTATATATTTGAAGATAGCTTAAAATAAAATGAAATACTTTACTATTAATTGGATGGGATTGGGTAAATGGTCCAAGACTTGAGTAGGGGTGCATAGTTTTTATGTTTCTTATAGGCAGGTAAGAGTGAGAACACGAATCACAATTTAATCCGAAATCGATAGGTTTTTGATTTGCTGATTTGATAGGGATAAAATCTTTCAAAAGGATTATTCAGGTCGAGACAGATTTTTTAAGAATGTGAGGTTGGGTTTAGGTAAAGGATAAAAAGCTCTGACCTGATCCGAAGATAATAATGTCATTTTTTTCAAAAAATATTTTTATTTTTAATTAAGTCATTGTTTTATACCGGATTGAGTAGGGTCGGGACGGATTTAAACTCTAAAAATTTGGTTTGGAAGTAAGGTGTAGGATATATATTTTCCAGGTCGGGTCGGATCGGATGGAGGATATATAATTTTTGGGCTGGGTCGGATTCGGATGGAAGATACATATTTTTGAATCGGGTCGGGCCAGGTTGTCAAAAAATCCGACCCTAACCCAACAGTTGCCATCCCTAAGTGAGTAAAACTAGGGACGGACGTATGCATTTATATTAGGGGTACAAACTTAAGAAGTTATATTAAAATTTATAGGGGTGCGAAGTTATAAAATTTTAGGGGTACAAAATTAGATAATCAATAGAAAATATAAAAAAACTTAAAAGGGAATTTAAAATTTCTAGGGGGTCAGTCCATTCCCGAGTAAAACTCAACTTGAATTGAGTCGATTCGTAAATTTAAAACTCAACTCAACTCAAAAAAAATTTAAATTCAGGTCTAGTTATAACATAAAACTTGAATAACTCAAAAATTTTAGTAATAGATTAATTTATAAGTTTGGGTCGAGTCACTCAATTATATATGATATATGTATATATCACATAAAAAAATATGATGGAATATATATGTATAGTATAGAAAATCGTTTAAATTAAAATCAAATAGTATCATAATATTATAAATATTTATAATTAAATTTAAACAAAAACTTAAATAACTCAACTCGTATTTTATAAACTCGACTCAACTTGGAAAAAAATTCAAATAAAGTTTGAGTTATAAAATAGAACTCGTCAACTCAACTAACTCGAAAGTATTTGACCCGACTTGATTCGATCGAATGTTCGCCCGTACTGCAGGGCTAATTGATGACACATAGGAACGGACATAAGGTTCTATGTTAGGAGGACGAACATCTAAAATTTTAAGAGGTGGTCGATTTATAAAATTTCAAGAAGCAGAAACATAGTTTTAATTAAAAATACGTAAAAGAATTTAAAATACATTATAATTTTAAATTTTTAGAAAAGACGATTGTCTATCCGTCCCCTCGGTCCATCCACGATGACACCTAGGATTTGAATGCATCAAGTTATGTGAAAAAAGAAGCTTGGAATGAAACACAACACTGCTTTGTGTCAACCAAATCATTTTCATCAATTACTTTTGCCTGTTCTACAGATACATTCAAGGAAGAAAATACGTTACAAAGAATGGATTCCAATCCTTATTAACACAATAATACCAAAACACATGCTAAAAGCTAGAGTCTTTTTAACACACCGAAACACAGATAAATTCTTGATAACAAACTCTCATCTCCAAGACAGAGATGTTTAACTAAGCATAAGCATCCGGATTCTGAAGAAGATAGGCTTCCACAACTTTATGCATAGCCAAAGCCTTTTCTTTGCCAGCCTTAACTTCCTCTTCACTTAGCTCAAACTCACCCTTGGTGTAGTAAGTGCTTGTCATCTTGTTTTTGCTCCCGCCATCTGCAGTGCTCTCAAATTTAACCTCATATGTGATTTTCTCAAGCTTCTCCATTAGTCCATCACCTTCAATCAAGCTATACTTGAATGAGAAGTTCTTCTCGTCGAGCTCATCGACACGGTTCTTGATGTACTTCACTTTGCTACCTGCATAATTATATTTGATCAGTGTATATAGACTTTGGTTAATCAAACCCGAGCGTGTCGGATGAATATGGGGTAGCAAGTTTAGTAGTTTATTTCACCTTCAGCAAAGTTGATCTGCCTGATGCTGCCAGCTCCTCCGTCACCTGTAATTTCGATGCTGTTAATATCCAATGGCATGAGTTTTGGGACGAGATTGTGTGAGTCGATAATCAAGGCTTTGAATAGCCTGGCTGGAGGGATTGTGGAAGTGTGCTCATCACTGTAACTGGTGACACCCATTGTATGTATATGTATCAGAAAAAATGGAGATGGTTAAGGCTCACTTTTGTGAAATTTGTAGAGGTGAAGGGGTTGTTTATATAGGTTGAAGTTCAATGATGCCTTGGCCTTCAAATTGTTTTCTATGTTTGTCATTTTTAAGGTGGAGTTTCCAAGGACTTGAGATAATGAATGAACCAAGGCATCTAGGAATTATGTTCTTACAAATGCAAAGAACAAAATTGTGGATATCTGTTTAAATTATACATTCAATTGCTGAAATGCAGAATAAATGATCCAAAACAAACATACTATCCTGTCTGCTTCTTTCAAGCACATTTAAGGATCTCAAAATTCCCTCATCTTTTCAACAACTTGGTCATTCAATGGCATCTGTATTCAGCTTATTGGTTTCAACATTTTTCGTACGGATTTGTGTACTTTTCAAGCCATTGCCTTGTTAAATATCATAATAGACGGCAATAATCTGCCTTCCCAAGTCCTTTGTCATTTGGCAGCCAAAGAAACAAGTCTTTTTCTCCATTGATTTCAGTAGTACAAGTCTAAACAAACTAAACAAACTAAACAAACTAAACAAACATAAATGAGGAAATATTCATATTCGTTTAAGTTTAACCGTACAAATAAACAAACAAGAACAACTAAACAAACATAATGTTCTTGTTCGTTTGTTAAAGAATGTAACTTCTTGTGTTCGTTCATTAAAATGATAAACGAATGCAAACAAACATAAACAAAATATATTTAACCGATTTATGGTTTTTTTTTTCAATCTATTGGAAATGAAAGGGAAAGTGAGCTGCTAGGTAGAAATTACATATGTGAATAAATTTAAACGAACATTAACAAACATTCATGAACACAGATAAACGAATAAACCCTTTTAGTGTTCATTCATTTAACTAAACGAATAAAAAATATTGTTCATGTTATTCCTTAATTAAATAAATGAACGTAAACTAATTTTTCGTCAAACGCTTCACAAACATTTTGCAAAACGTTCAATTCGTTTATAATTTAGTATACAAGGTTCTTTCAAGGTTGTAAACATAATTTTTTGTTTATGTTCATTCATTAAAATAATAAGCAAACAAATAAAAACAAATATAAATTTAAACATTTATGATTTTTTTCAATCTATCATGAAATGAGACGGTGAGTTGCTAAACAGGAAATACATATGTGAATTAATTTAAATGAACATAAACAAATAGATTACTAAACATTTACGAACATAAATTAACAAACAGACCCCTTGATCGTCCACTCATTTAATTAAACAAATAGAAATCAGTTCACAACAATTCATTGAATGTTCAGTTAATTTAAACCCCAGTATTACAAGGTTCTTTCAAGGTTGTAAACTCAAGAGTTGCCCCTCAATAATAATGATTATTCAATCTTATTCAAATCATGTGAATCAACTGGTTCTCATAATGCACAGACAAATAGTATTATTGTATATTTTTACAATAGCCTCCCGCAAAAAACATCATATGAATTTTAAGGCAATAGATCACCAAAACTGCCCAAAACCATAGACAATACTTCCCTTCTTAAGTTTTTTTATCTAATGGTTCCGATATCTTCACATTATGGATGTGTTCATAGGACAAGTATATTTCTCCAAGAATCGAAAACCCGAAAAAACAGAGCCGTCGGTTCAGCCTCTACATGATGCTGCAATGAACACAAGATTCCTATGCAAACACTAGATCAAGGGGGATATACGCCCCCAAATGGATCACATGAAATCATACTCGTCTATATCATCATAAGCATTAACAACCAAATCATCATCTGGTTTATCAACATGGAGCTGCTTTTTCTTGCCACCTAAAAAATGTCCAAAAGGCAGTTAGAGAATCGCGGCTAAGAGTATGACTGGCAAGTCAAATGCTGAAACAGCAGTGAAAACTAAAGATGAGATCTAATTCTTCCTCTTATTTAAAGTCCGTAACTGTAGCAGATACAAAATCGACTGTAAAACAAGGTTAATATGAGGAACCATGATATGTCAAACCAAATGAATACAAGATTTAAGGACTTTACCCCTATAAATTCCTAAAAGATCTATGCCTGCTGGAGGGGGTCGCTGGCATCATTCATAGGGACTTTAACAATATAATAAGTTGTATAAAAAGTTACTTTCTTCCCTCACTTGATTTAAAATTGTCAATAAAGAGAATAACAAGCCGGCAGATATTTCATGTTTTCCTTTCTGGTATATACTATGGTGCAGAAGAATGAGAAAATGAACTGACTGCATGTGTTTTACCTGTTTTCTTTTTACTTGTGGCTTCTTTCTCTGCTTTTAACTTTTCATTTGCAATTGCTGTGATTGAAGACGCTATATCTTTAGTATCAGCAGTTTTCAAGGAAGTCACAGATTCTAATCAATGCCTTGAGTAGTGCAATGTAATGGTAACTTTTCTGCATCGAAGTATGTATTTGGGCAACTTAAAGAACTTTCTCAATGTAGAAACCAAGACTTGAAAAGAAAGATGATTAAACTCACCTCATATGGGTGAAGCTTATGAGAAACAAGCTCGGCGTATTCCAAAAAGTCATTTTCAGATTTGGGAATAAAATTATCAAGGGTCTTGTCATCACCTTTCTTGGCAAAAAGTTCAGCAGTGGACTTGTAATCAGCTTCTTCCACAAGCCTGTGATAGTGCAAATGCCAGAATAACTCATCAAATATTAGGAACATGTCAATTTTGAAGAGTATAAAAGCAAAGAAAACCTAAAAATCCTGAGATCCAAGTATGCAGATGGGCAAGAGAAGAAAATGTTACTTAGAGGACCTAAAAAGTATTAGGCTATTAGTTCTCAACTTAGATTAGCTCTAGGTTCTAGCAAGTATAAATGCAGTAACATCCACTTTAAATAACTAAGGAAGTTTCTTAGTGTCATCACCACTAGAAGCTAAATATATTAAGCTCTACCTTTGTTGGCTAAGTTTCTCGGCAACAGGATCAAGGAGTTATTGTTTAGCGATTTCAACAGCTTTCCCTTTCTTTTCATTAGCTTTTGCGACAGGTTTCTTGGGAGCCATCTCTTCAGGAGCTTTTGCTACAGGTTGCTGAGAACAATCAAGGAAACAACACGTCAACACAATGTCACAAGCAAATAGTTTCTCTATTATCATATATATAACACAGATAACTTGTCTGCAATAACATTCTTTGCATGGAATGCCAATAGAAAAGACCTATGTAATAACTTAGGTATTAACAAGAAATTTTGTTACCGAAAACAAAACAAAAGTCTGACAGAATGCTACCGTACTGTTTATGTCCATAATGCAGTTCGTACTTTTTCTCTGTTAGTTTATTCAGTGGGAAAGGTAACTAACCATGCTGAAGGTAACATTCAAATTAGTCTCCCAGAATTTTATATGCAATTGTTCAAAAGCATAGATGTTCAGCATACTAACAACTCAAGGAAACACTCTTATCTACTTTATTCTAGCTCCATGTGGTAAGCATCGTGGGCAGTATCAGTTTTTCCCTTTTGTTTTAATGCTCCCAGGTGATCAAGAAAATACTTTATTTCTATCTGAATCCAAACAATAAAAGATATTTTTCATCACACAGTGAAATTGGCAAGAAATAAAATTGAATAATTTGATGGCTCAGTTGAACACATTCTCGCTTCGCTTGATAGTTTTCTGCTAAGAGTTCTAAGTCCACAACTCCCTCGGTCATCATAGGAAAAATCTTATACACTTATATGTGAAGGATTAAAACTTTATTTATGTAATTCTTTCAATCTATATATGCCTCTAGATAGGCTAGCTAGAAGAGCATAAACACAAGCTGACATGATAAGCGGGATCGCCGACAGACTGGAAGATAAACATAATCAAGCAATTCAGGAATCCAACCGCATGATGTGACGAGTTCCATCAATCGGATTACTTAACTGATGCAGGCAAGACAATAATGAGTCACGAGAAGAAATTCTTACGAGATCATGAAAAGGCATTCATCTTAATAAAATTTGCACAAAATCCGATATTCAAATTTGGTTGGTAATTCAAGGCCTGATACTACTATAGAAATTATCTTAATATTTATCCATCCAACAATCCCCTGGGATACATTCATGAAAACTAAATTTAGAATATAACTTGTAATCAGAAAGAGCTTATAACTTCCAAAGTTACACTAGCAGACCAATACACCAGTTGACACTTGTAACTATATCTTCAAACTTATGTTTAGGGTAGAAACTTCTTACAGATATTATCATTTTGAACAAATTTTATTGCACAGATTTTAAGAAAACATAACTAATGATATCAAGAAAAGAGCCCTAACAGTAAAATACTATACAGTATACAATGAACTAATACCCAGTAATAAGTAAGTCATCATACCTGAGGCTGAGGAGGTTCATCTTCATCCTCCCATGAATCCTTGATATCAGTATCGTCAACATCTTCATCATCCCATTTGCTTTTAGGCAGCGCCTTTACAGGGATAGGTGAAATCTCATCCTCTGCAACAATGGCATTCACGAGCAGGGATAATTTTAAAAGAGGCCAATCAGCAGATAAAAAAGGGATATGGTATGATAGGCTCTTCAATGGCGATCTGAAATTACTAAAATATATCATAGTTTTATTACTAATTAACAACTGGCAGATGAAAAGCATATTGAACTGAAGCAGTTTAAAGGTAATGCGGAACGCTTTCCGCCTTAAACCTGCTATGGGGAAACTGTCAGCCAATAGCTCGAGCTCAATTTGAGCACCAGCACTTGTGAATCCCTAAAATTGAAGCCCTGTCTAGTCGAATAAAGAAAACCCACTCAGATTTCTCTGTAATCTAATCGATTGCCCAATAAACCCTTACTCAAAGAAGTCACCTTTGACAAACCTCAACCCATCAAAAACAAAAGAAAAATAAATAAAAACCCAATTAATTTGAACTCTAGTCAAATTAAAGATTCCACATGTAAGTTCTACATAATGAAAAACGCAAAAAGAAAATTGAACGAGTTATCAGTCAAAGCCCCTCCAGAAAAATAAATAAGTAACCAAAATTGAGAGAGAAAAAATTACCCCAGTCCTCCAT